AACCGACGGTGGTACAAACGTCCACGGGCGATGCAGAAACAGCACCCGTTTGCAGATTGAAGATATCTTCAAAATTGGCGAAGTTAGCGCTCACCCCTGTTTTAAAAATTCGGTACAACCACCCCCTTGAGGGTACAAACGAAACGAACTGCGGTACAAACGAGTACAAACGATTCTGAATCTAATGGCGTTTGGAAAATTTGAATATCTCAAAGTGGGGTGCTAACTTTTAAAAAAATTTTTTTTTCTCTCAACCCCTTGAGGTACAAACGAAGAGAACGGTGGTACAATCGGGTACAAACCTAGCTCTATCCAATAAAAAAAAAAGAATTTTTTTTCTTGAAGTCGGGTGCCAGGTTCACATAAGTGGTTTAACCTTAACCTATTTCGCGCGAGTTGATGATAACTGATCACGAAGAATTTTTCCGGTATATTCAGATGTGGCCAGAGCAATTTGAATTTTTGCTCAATTTGGTGTATCTATGCTTTCATTTAGGTTATAGCATGCAAAAACAGCACTAGCTTCTTGCGCGCGTTTTCTTTACTATATGAATGCTACTGATTGTGAGTTCTCATTGATTGAGAGTAAGAGAGTAGATGTAAGAAATAGATTTCAACCATTTTGCTTACGGACTTACTCTACGCCCTATAATACCGAAAAACCAGCTTACTGCGACGTCTTACTGCTTCATCCACTACTATTACTGCCCATTGTAGACCACGCATTATACTTTCCTTTTTGTCTTTACCTGTTTTGTCCGACTTATCATCGAAATCTACCGTCTTTTCTTTCTTGTTAGTCTTGAAATCTTTAGCGTACCTGCATTGATTCGACTTGTGACCCTTCTTGCCGCATTTGTAACATTTTGGCGTTTCGACATCGGAGCTCTTTGATTTTTTATCCTTTGTCGTATTTCTACCGAGAAAGGCTTGATAAGATTTCTTTTGATATGCCGTGTCAATGAGTTTCGTTTTAACAGCATCCGACGTTGTCTTTATTCCATTGCCTTCGAAGCCCATCGTCAAACGTTTGAATTCTTCCGCGAGATCAGCCAGCATATAATTGCACCAACCTATTCATCTCCAATATTGAGTCCAATATTATTCAACTTATTGGCAGCTCCTGAAATTTGACTTACATAATCGGACATTGACTCGCAGTTTTCAAGACGTATATTAATCAATTTGTATTAATCTGATTTTATGCGTGGTATCCGTATTTTGAAATAGTTTCTCGAGCTTATCCCACACTTCAGCTGCATTTCTAGAATTCTCTACGTGTACATACAGTGATTTGTCGATACACTGAACAGAATTCTTCCTTTGGCTTTCTTTTGCTTCTCTGTGTCCGCTTTTCCGTCATCACCAGTAACGATGCATTTTTCAAGACCATTGAGATCCAGCATCGCACGCATGGCCATTGACCACGTATGATAATTTTCGGCACCTCGAAGTTTACTTATGGACAACCACGACTCTCCACTTAAAGCCATAACGAGAGGTTATATTAGAAGACGTCGATAGAAAATTCTCGATCGCTTATATCAACATCAAAGGCAGCAAAAAAATCTTCGCAACACACACGTATTTGTGAACTTTATACTAATACGTATTATGGATGCAGTTTTATGACTCTCCGTTCAATATGTATCTGTACTCACTTAATCCTATTGAGTAATTATAATTAACACGCGGTTCTGGGCCCATAACCTATTAAATTAAGACGGGTTAGAAGAACGTCGCCACGTCCGTTCGTGGCGAAAGCCAAACACAGATAGTGATTTATTATAGAAACACCAGTAATATGTTAAGCTCACAAAGTGGCGCTTTTATTAAGGGCGCGTGAATACAGATAATGTAGGTAATACAGATTTCTTACAACAGTAATGACGTCACAAGTGAGAATTATCTGAGAATCGGAGTAAATAGAAAGCAACTAATATTATAATAGAATAGGAAACTTTTTCAACTAATTCCCAGATAGCAAACTCACGTTATTTTGACGTCAAATTCTGATTATGTTGGTAGGAATGACGTCAAGTAACCAAAAATTGAACAACCGATGTTATGACGTCATTACATGACGTCAGCTTGCTAGTGAGACTCTGGCTGTGTTCCAAAATTGACTGTTAGTACTGAAAATTTATAGTTTACGTCACGAGCACTATAGGTTTTCAATACTGGCAGTTAATTTTGGAACACACCTTCTTAATTAATTTATTGTTGCTTGGAAATATCTTAATATGACGTCAAAATAATGTCCTCGCAATGACGTCAATAATTGGGATATTAGAACGTCATTAAGACTTCATTAAGATGTCAGCTATGGTCAGTAATTGACCAAAACTTGATACCTAAATGACGTGTGTTTGCTACCTGCGTAAGTATGCTCTAAAATATTTATATGATCAACAAAATGTAGTAATAAGTAAAGGATTTATATAATTTGTTATAAAAATAATCCGTACTGATAAAATCTGGACAAAATAAAAATAGTACTTGTGAACGCAAAAAAGCTAAATTTTTGTATACATATTTTGCAATAATTAATATCAATATTTTAATATTGAGACGTTTATACGAACTCACCTGATGAATTTATCAAATTTTGTTTGTATTGCTACTTCATCTTCGTCTTGAGGTTTGTATGGTGCTTTCAGTAATAATTGCACTAAGTTAATGATTGCATTCCGACGTACCACAATGACAGTAGTTTTACAACAAACGGCCACAATACTCAAAAACATTAGAGTATTAGTAGCAAAATCATCGACATTATTGACAACGAAAATTATATCCAAAAATTGCGTTAACATCAAAAAGTATTCCGAAAATATTATAATAAAGGTAAATACGTTATACAGCAGCTTGGCACCATTTGATGACCACTCAACAGGTCGCCATATACCGCCAACGGTATATATTAAAAAATTTAGAGAAAGTATTTGCATATTTGGATCAAATCTTTTTTTTAAACAACTTATCGAATGTTGTGCAAAAGTATAGAAACTCCTTTCTACATGTAAAATATAAAAAAAAGTGGTTAAAACATTTTGAAAATTATACTTTTTCAAATATATAATATATTAATTAAAACCGAATATATTATGTTTGAGAAAAATTGAATTTAGTTTAGTAGGTAGTATATAAATATTTTACAAAGTGGATTATACCTTTGGTAAATGATACAAATTAAAATAGAATAAACCCCTAGCCCCAAGAGTGCGCATTTTTTCTTTGAGTCTATATAACTTGTACATGGATTCGAGTTTGGAGTAAAGTTGTGCTTATATCATTCTTTACACTTTTAATTAAAAGTTTGTCAAGTATCAGTTTAATACTATCACTCGTTTTTATATCATTCGGTAATACAGACAGCTCCACATTCTCTTAGGAGGATTCTAAAGTTGTCTGTATTATCGACTAAACCATATAATTTTTAATAAACTACCGCAGTACTATCACGAGCTAAAATTGACTAATAATTTAACAATTCTGATGTTCATAGCATCTTGGATCTTAATAATGTTGAATAACATATTAAAATCTATGAATGATATATTAAAAATCTGTAAATAATTAATTTATATTGCGAAAAATATATATTATTATACCTCAGCCAGGAATCGAACCCGGATCTCTGGCATAAAATTTTTGTATCTATTTATCTAATTATTATAAATACTTTGTTTGTCATTCACAGACTTGAAAATCCTTTTCCATGATTAAAGTGTATACATTAATACGTGCCTGTGAGGTAGAATCTATGCTGAAAATGACAAAAAATTTCAAGATTATAAGTTCTATTTTACCTTCTTTTTTTCAGAGCTGTCACGTCGTTATACGAGACAATATTTACTTCATATAGAAGTTATGCGATCTGTATTTACGAAATAATAGTCCACAGGCAAGTAATTTGCATGAAGAAACAGTGTGGGGTTCTTAAAATTGGATTTAGATTAAAACGTAATTACGATACGAAAATTTATGTACTATAGTATATATGTGACGTGCTTAAGTGAGACTATTGATGTAGTGATGTGTCAATGACACATAATCGTTTGTGTGTATTATTTTCAATAGATATGATTAATCGTCTTTAGGATCTATTTAAGTGCGAACTCTGCGATCGTGTTACTTTTTATTTTTAATATAACTATACAAAAATTATTACAGATGTTAAATAAACATCATTAAATACAAAGCATGCATATAGTATAAATAGTACAAATTCACAAATTTAATGTAGAAATTGATCAATTTAATCATAAAAAAAATACAAAGAAAATAGTCAAAATTACAAAATTTAAAACATCTTTTTATTGCTGCAACGATCAGAAGGATTTTTTATACACAGATTGGCAAATCAAAAAAACATAGTTTTGTGTGAAATACAGCTGTTGCGATCTAATAGTTTTGTCGTAAAGGTCAATGGGATTTCTTGAGCGATGCGCACTCTTGGGCGGTCTTATACTCTATGTTTAAATCACATTTTGAATATCAAATGTTCGCTTGCAATAACTTTTTTTATTTAATTTACAAATTGCGTACAATGATTACATCACGGATTGCAAATTGGATGACAACTTATTTACCATACAGTATATGATTCGTGTGAATACAATATTATTAAAATAGTATTCATAAATATTTACTACACACTTTTTTCGGAAATCAGAATTTTACCTAATAATAAATTACAAAATTAACAAATACTAACACTGATGTAATATGTTATTTTATTATCGTGTCATTAAATTTCATTTAAATGTAACCGAGCACGTTTTGCAATAGACTATGTACAGTTGATTCTTCAACGTTTTGTCAATTGCAGTACCATCAATTACGGTCATTAAAAAATCGACATGAAGTCATTTAATCATTTATTATGGAGTGCATGCTTTTGCGTTCTTATGAATAATATAGTAACCATAATTGTAAAGGCTTTCCTGCTTCCAACCATCGAGAGATATCTTCACGATCACGCATGTTGTTTCCTATTGAATAAAATATTTGTATATTTTCTTATCTATTAGAAGTATAATACAAGAAATATCATATTTTCCGTAAGCCTCTCACTTTATTACATATAAATACGAGAGCCAGTGTAGTGACAAAAGTGATGTGTAATAAACTTCTGATAGATTTTTCAAGTTACTACTTTATACATTTACAAGATATGGTAAATGTTTGAGAAAACACATGTATGTATATTTGTCATATATATATACATATATATATATATATTAATTGTACATTAATTTTCTAATGTAGGAATTTAATTAGAAATTAAATATGGTTAGTGTTGCTTAATTTTAGTAATAATGATATTATCTATTTTTCATCATCTATTTTAGAAGTAGAACTAGAGTGGTGTTACATTTTTTACTTAATCAGTATATTTGCCGATATTTTTAAGTTATAGTTCAATTTGTAGATAGATTTAATTGTGTAATCGGAAATAGATGAACGAAATTCATGTATAATACTAAGATAAGAGAATTAATTTATATTATAATACACATATTTAAATTTTGTTTGCATTAAGTATAAATATTCTTAATGTACGAGGTGTGTTAAAAAAAAAGGTGACTTTATTTTTCTCGAAAAATATTTATTTATTCATCAATATCTATATTGTCCCCTTCAAAGTAATCCCCCTAAGATATTATACACTTGTGCCAGCGCTTTTTCCAATCCTCGAAGCACTTCTGATATGCGCTTTTTGGTATGGCCTCGAGCTCTTTCAGCGATGCGGTCTTTATCTCCTCAAATCTCCGTCCTTTCATGGGTCTTTTCAGTTTTGGGAACAAGAAAAAGTCACAGGGGGGCAAGTCCGGTGAATACGGTGACTGAGGTATGGATTATGGTGTTGTTTTTGGCCAAAAAATTACGAACAAGCAACGACGTGTGAGCTGGCGCATTATCGTGGTGCAATATCCATGATTGGTTGTTCCACAATTCCGGGAGTTTTTTTCGTATTGCTTCACGCAAACGGCGCATAACTTATAGGTAATATTCCTTATTGACCGTACGACCTTGTGACAAGAACTCACGATGCACCACGCCATTGTAATCGAAGAAAACAGTGAGCAAAACCTTCACATTTGACGTCCAAGGCGGGTATTGTCATTAACATCTTCTCGACCTTCTGTGAAGAGCTTGTACCACTTATAAACACTTTTTTTGCTGAAAGTAGACTCGCCAAATGCCGCAGTCAACATTTTAAGTACGTTAGAGTACTTAATTTTATTTTTCACACAAATAACTTAATACAGATTCTTTGATCCAATTTTTTTGATAGTAAAAAATCGCCAAGCACACCAAACACGTCTAACTTTTATATCTGTGAAAAACAAACTAAACATGCAAAACAGCTGATAATGTCAACATATGTTGAGGACATGTGTATCAACACAACAACAAAAAATTCGAAAATCGAATGTACATACGTAGCCCGCGAAATTTGAAAAGTCACCTTTTTTTTTAACACACCTCGTATATTTACAATATATTATTGCCATTTAAATTCTAAAAACGAGTATCTTGCAACAAATATCCGGAATTATATTTCTAAATTATATCAGTGATAATGAAAGTTTTCAAGGATATTCATACTATTATATATGTCATTTCAATATAAAATTTCGGTCACATATATTTCTGAAAACTAGCAATCCTTATCGAAGTTGTAGACGGAGGTCGATATGGCTAGATCACGTCTTTTGAGAGATATATAAAGTCGAAAATAATGTAATGCCCGCGAAAATGGCGTATCTCACTCGGACACCGGGTGCCTGCGTCTACACGTCGCAAGAACGCGCGTCAGGTCGAACGAACGCATATACCCGAATAACGCATAACACCCGAATCGAAACGTGTCCGTCACGTTCGAATGCTTTAGAACTCATTCTCTGTCAACGAAAACAATCTAACGTTGGGGTTGCCGTTAATAAAAGACAATAACGTCGGTTTAGTGTCAAATACTATGGCGCTATAGCATCTTCGCAGTTATAATCGGCAGGTAAAGATTTATTCTAAATATAAGATTATATAAACTTTAGGTTTTGGGACATCTATGGAGTCACACCCTTATCACCGGTCGTCGCTGATATGGTTATGCAAGATTTTTGAAGAAATTGCGATACAAAGATTGCCACATAACTTGTCATTTTATTATCGTTATATGTGGATGACATTATTCTCCGCCTGAAAGCATTAATGACATCTTAGATATTTTTAATTCGTTACATAATAGACTGCAGTTTACTATGGAGGTTTACTAATGATGGTAAAATAAGTTTTCTGGATACTATGTTAATTACAAACGAGCAAAGTCTCATCTTCGATGGATATCGTAAGGCAACCTTTTCTGACAGATTCCTTAACTTTTACTCTAACCATCGACTGTGTTACAAAAGAGGTGTAATCTATGGAGTTGTAGATAAAATATTTCGTTTGTGTCATCCGATGTTTTAGCAAAACGATTTAATTGATGCCATTAACATATTTTTAAATAATGGATACCCGTTACCTTTCATTTTTCCAACGATTAAGAATAGAATCAAATTTCATATTAATAATATTTCTAACAACAAGATTAATATGAAAAAGTTTTTCACTATTCCTTACGTCAATGCAATTTCTGAAAGATTTAAATCGATTGTCAATATATTTAATTGCAAACTGGTTTTCACCATTCCTATAACACACTAAAAAATTTCATAAAAAGAGGTAAGAATAAGCTGGAACAAGCGTGCAGTCAGAATGTGATTTACAAAATATCATGTGATGATTGTGACGCGAGTTATGTTACCAAACGAAAAGATAGTTAAAAACGAGAGTGCATGAGCATATTTCAGATATCAATAAAATCTCTAAGTCTCCTTCGGTCATTTCTAACCACCGCATTGAGATGAATCATAACTTTAAATGGGACAAAGTATAGACA